TACATGTAACCTGGATATCCTCTACGACCTGGAACTTCTTCTCTAGCAGCTGAAACTTCACGAAGTGCATCAGCATATGATGACATATCAGTTAAAATAACAAGAACATGCATATCACATGTATAAGCAAAATATTCTGCAGTAGTTAATGCAAGACGAGGTGTAACAATTCTTTCAATAGTTGGATGATTAGCAAGATTTAAGAATAATGTAACTCTTTCCATAGAACCATTTTCTTCAAAATCTTGTCTAAAGAATCTTGCTGTTTCCATATTGACTCCCATAGCTGCAAAAACAATAGCAAAATTATCTTCATGATTATCAACAACACCAAGTCCTTTGTGTTTAACAAGACCTGCTTGTCTACAAATTTGAGCTGCAATTTCATTATGTGGTAATCCTGCAGCTGAGAAAATTGGTATTTTTTGTCCTCTAGCAATAGAATTCATAACATCAATAGCAGAAATACCTGTTTGAATCATTTCTTCTGGATATACTCTATTTGCTGGATTAATTGGTTGTCCATTAATATCAAGATAATCTTCTGCAATAACATTAGGTCCTTTATCAACTGGTTTACCAGATCCATTGAAAACTCTACCAAGCATATCTTCTGAAACTGGAATTGTCAAAACATCTCCTGTAAATTCACATCTTGTATAACGTGCATCAATCCCTGAAGTTCCTTCAAAAACCTGTACAACAGCTTTATTGCCAGTAACTTCTAAAACTTGTCCTTTACGGACACTTCCATCTCCTAATTTAATATTTACAATTTCACTATATTTTGGTCCTTTAATATTATCAAGAATAACTAATGGTCCATTAACACTAGTCACTGTTCTATAATCTAATTATTAATATCTTTTATCGTTCATATTTCTTTTTATAACAACGTAGGATTATTGTTTATTTATTATGTTTCATAAATAATAAATTGTGTTTGTAATTAAAATTTCTTCTTCTTAACTTAAAAAAAAACAAACCAAGAACAGGATTAACAATATAATCACGAGTCACTGCAGCAGCGTTAATTTTGAAAGCTTCCATTTCAATTGAAAATATAAGATTTCTGTCAACTCAAAAATATTTTCCACAAAAAAATATTTTAAGAATTTCATTCTTCCTTTTTGTGATAACAAAAACCCTTTTTCTTGGTTTTTTGGTTTTTGTTCATCAGACAAAAATCAATTCTTATTCTTTTATTATTTGTAACTATCCCATTATAATTTCATTCTTTTATTTGATTTGTCTTTCTATCATAATATTAAAAGTTCTTATAAAATAACATTTTATTAAAGATATGTTTTTGTTTTATAACACAAAGTTGAAATCTAATATAAACTTTCATTTTTATTTAAAATCATTTTGAAAAAGGAACAATAATAATTTGATATAAAAGAAAGAAACTAATTAATAATTAATTAAAGAATATTATTTTCTTTTCTTAATTCTTTAAATTTTTTGAATTCATTTACTATAAGAAAAGATTTAATGTCATCAGGAAGACAGTCATAGCTCCAATCCTCAAAATAGTGGAACCAATAAGGATCAATAACACGAGTCAAACCAACATGAGTCAGTGCAGAATCAACAAATTGATCAGGTGTACAAACAGAAAGTGAAGGTTGCATTTTACCAATCATTTCAGTTGAGATATGCCAAGGTCTAAAGACAGTACAATCAATATTAGAATATTCATAAGAAATACTTCTACTTAATTGAAATATAAACTCTTTTGTTGATGCATAAATAGCACTATAAGGAGCTGGAGTTTTAGAAGTACAACTAGACATAAAAATAATAAGATTTTTAGCATTTTTAATTGAATGATGAATAAAAAGATGAGTTATTTGTGAAGTAATTTCAATGTTTAATTTAATCATATTATTAGTTTCTTCTAAAGGAATATCTGTAAACATTCCTTTAATAGAACGACTAACATTATTTATTAAAACTGTAACATTATTTTCTTCTAATAAATTATCAATCAATTTCCACTGAACTTCATTTATCTGATATAAATTAATTGTTAAAGTTATTACTTTAATTTTATATTTTGATTCTAACTCTTTTTTTATTTCATTTAATAATTCAGTTCTTCTTGCAATTAAAATAAGATTAAATCCTTCTTTACCTAATCTTTCCGCAAATGACCTTCCAACACCTTCAGAAGCTCCAGTAATAAGAGCAAAACTATTTTTTGCATGATACTTTTGTATAGGGTTAGGGTGAATAATTCTACGAATAACAAATCTCCAGATAAACAGTACTAATGGTAAAATGAGAATAATATTAATTAAAATACCTATAGCAAGGAGTGCAATTTGTTGTGATGAGTTCATTATGAATTAAAATACATTATTCAGTAAATTTAAATTAAATATATAGTATCATTTTTATTAAAGTTCTATTTTTATTTTAGATGAAAATAAATAATAATTTATTATTTTAATTATAGTTTTTTAATAACAAATTCTTTTAAAAATTTGTTATTTTTAAAAAAAAAGAAAAAGAGAAAAAAATAGAGAAACTATAAATAATAGTAAAAGGATAATAAAAATAATAAAAGTAAATTAACAAGAAAAATAAATAAGAAAGTTTACTGAAAGAAGAATGCAAGTAATAACAACTGATAAACGAACAACAGGGAATTCAATGATTCCTAATCAAATCAGTCAACAAAAAGATAAGAAAAGGGAAGACATTTTACAAAGAGAACAAATGAGAAATTTAATTAAAAGAGTTGATGGGAGATATGAATTTGATAAAACATCAATTCAAACAGCATTGAAAGATGTGGTTGAAGATTTTTTAGATACATCTCTTTGTGACCTTCTTGAAATTGCAAAGCATAGAAGTAGTGATAAAATAGAAATTAAAGATACATTGTTTTATTATAGAATGATGTGGAACTTAGATGTTGGTCCATCGTATTCATTACCTCCTAAATCAGCAACTGTTTTACAAAAGAAATTTGCTCCTCAAAAAACTTTTAAAAAACAAATTCGAGAATTTAAAGAACGAGTTGGTATTGTTCATAAAGGTATAGATGAAATGAATTCTGTTAATTAAATTTTTAGGAAGTTAAATTATTTAAAAAGTAAAAATTTTAAAAGAATAAAAAGGCTAAGTTATAATTTTAGTAAAAAAAAGTTTTAATTGAAAGAGGTTTTCATTTAATTAGAAGAAGGACACATTTTAGCCCATTCACAAAATTGATCAGATCTATTTCCAGATTCAAGGTATTGAAGTATTTTGAAATATAATTCATCAAGAACAAAATAACAATAATGTTGTGGAAGCTCTCTTCTAAATTTAATGCATAAATTGTTCATTAATTCATGAACTTTGTCTAATGCCATATTACTTTCTGCAGCATTAATTAATTTATCAGCAACATTATTACACAAGTTGCAAAGAACATCTCCTTCTCTATGCTCACAATAAACTTTTGGACTAAATGCTTGTTTGGAATAAATGTCAACACAAACATCAGATGGAAGTTCTTTCTTTATACATTTCTCTAAAACATCTTTAGAATGTGAAACAATTTGTGCTTTTCTTATTGTGCTATCGCAAGAACTTCCTTTTTCTGCATTAGCAAAGAGAACAAGAGTTAAACAAAGGATAAATAACATTAACTTAATATTTTTTAGTTTTATTTTTTTTTTTGAAAAGTTACTTTTTATATTAATAATCGATTCTTTAAAGAAAATTATTTCTTGGCTTAAATTTATTTCATATTTTTTTTTTTTAAATTTAATTTTTTTAATATTTGTTTTTTTTTAAATTAAAGTTCATTTTCATCTGCTTAATTAAGTTATATATAACATAGAATTATTTTTATTTAAAATCAAAAAAGAATTAAAATGTTTTTTAGTATTTTTTATGAAAAAAAAAATAAAAATTAATTTGGCAAATAATTCAAATAGTTAAACCTCAAGTATTGAGAAAAAACAGTAAAAGAAGAAATTTTTAAAACAAGATAAAAATAGTAAAATAATAGTAAAAGTATTATTATTAAATTGAAAATAAAAAGATGATTAAAACTCAAAAATATCATATACTTAAGGCTCCAAAATGGCACCAAAGAAGAAAGAAGCTGAAGATCCAGCAGTTCAAGAATTGTTTGATAGACTAGAACCATTTTTTGATGGGATTCTTGTCTCAATGAAATCATTTTCATTGACTGATCGAGCAATGTATCAACAAGTATTTACAGAGTTCCTCACATTGTCAGGAAGTAATTTTTATGAAGCATTCATTAATAAATTCAGAGATAGATTGAAAGATGGATTCCAAACATCAATGAAAAAGATAAGAGATGTTCCTATTGATGAAAACTTCCCAAAAATTATTAAAGAAGATCTTGATAGGTGGGAATATGCTAAGAGTGCCATTTTAGTATTATTTAAGCCATTAGATTATGCAATGGCAAATGGTGCTTCATTAACAATAGACATAATTGTTAAAGATAAATGGAACACAGATTATCTTCACACATTAAACGATACGTTTGAACTTACCACTACACTTACAAGAGTTTTTTCAGATTCAAGAAGGAGTGGCAATAAGATGTCAGTATTGCCAGTAAAAAATATTTTAATGTTATACAAAAGAGAAAATATTGTTACTCGTGGACAAGTTCCATTAATTAAGATGTTTGAAGATGCGTTTTGTAAAACATCTAGTGAGGATTATAAAGTTTTTGCAACAGAATTCTTTAAAGAAGGAGTTCATGGATTTTTACCACAAGCAAAACAATTTATGGAAGACGAAGAATTTAGAATTGAAAATGCTATGGATGATGAAATTGGAGAAAAAATGAACAAACATCTTCAAAATGACTTTTTGAAGGTTTCATTACAAATGGTTTATGAAAAGTATGATGAAATTCTTGAACAAGATAAAGAAATTGAGTTCCAAGCTATTACTCGTCTATTTGGTCCAATTAACAAACTTGATAAATTCGCTGAAAAAACTAAAAATTCATTTATGAAAGTTTGCCAAAATAAAATGGAGAATGCAGTCAAACAAAGTCCAGAATTTATTAGAAATTATCCAGCAGTTGTTTCACTATTATTTGAATTACTTGATCGATTAGAAAAAATGCAACAAAGTTATTTCCTTTCTAATCCAATATTTAAGTCTAGATTAGACACTGCTTTTAAAGATGCTTTAATTACAAATAAAATTGTTGATCTTTCTGATAAAAAAGATGAGGTATTTCCACGAATTCTTGCAAATTATTCTCATATGTTATTAAAAAAAGGAAGTAAAATTGAACCTGATCAAGAAAAAGTAAAAGAAAACATTGTTAAATTAGGTAAAGTACTTCAATTTGTTGGAAATAGAGATGTCTTTGAAATGGTATATCAAAAGAATTTCCAAGACCGTTTGGTACTTGGACTAATGGAGTCATCTGATTTAGAAATGTATATGATTAATGAATTGAGTAATATTTGTGATAGACAAGTATCACATAAATTACATACTACTTTCCAAGAATATAACCAATCTAGTGATATTCTTGAGAAATTCAAAGGTTATTGTACTAAAGGAAATGTTCAATTACCTAAATTTGATTTTAATGTTGTTGTTTTTAGTAATAGCTCTTCTCAAAATCAAAATGTTGCATCATATAATATGCCTTCACAATTAAAAGAAGTTTTTGATAAATTTAGTGAATTCTATAAAACTACTCAAAATAAAAAATTGACCTTAAATCACACTTCTTCTACTGGAATCATTCAATTCTCATGGCTTAGAAGACCAATTCAAATTACTTGTAGATTCTATCAACTTGGATTATTAATGTTGTTCAATGATAATAAAGAAATTACTTATGCTGAGCTTGGAACAAAAACTGCTTTGAATACCGATGATTTAGCTATTTGTATGTCTGGAATGGTATCAAAAGGGTTATTGTCTAATTCTACTGGAAAAGAGTTTAAACCAGAGTCTGTCTTCAAGTTTAATATGGCATTTAAACCAAAAATGACAAAATTAAGCGTTATGCAAGCAGATAAAGAATACGTAGAAAAAGAACAACAAAAGAAGAATGATGCAGAAAGTGAACAATTAGAAGAAACAAGAAATTATGTCATTCAAGCAAAACAAGTAAGAATTATGAAACAAAGAAGAACTATGAAATATGTTGATTTAATTAATGAAACAATTGAACATTTAAGATCAAGATTTAATATCACTTCTAGAATGGCTAGAAAGAACATTGAGTATTTGATTAATAAAGAGTATTTCAAGAGATCTGATAGTGATAGAGAAGTATTGGAATACCTGGCTTAAAGTTTATTCTTAAATTCACTCATCTTTTTTCTATATTTCATGTTATTTTTAATAAAAAATTTTTATTTTTTTCGAAAAAAAATAACCTCTAAAGTAAAATCGATTATATAAGAAGTTTTTATTTTGTAACATTGTTTGTGAGAACATTAAAAATATAACCACTAAACCTTCTTTCAAAAGCAATGTTTTGTAGATCTATTGAAGGGAAATTTTATCAAAACAGTTTAGACTTATTATTAATAAGAGATACGCAATTATTCGATGAAAAACAACAAATATTTAATGTTTTTAATTGTCAAGAACTAAATTCTTCCAAGGGTGGTACAGTTTTAAGTCTGATTTAATAATAACCATGTTATAATTCTTAAGGCAAAAGTACTTTTGGATTGTCATTTATACTGATTAGACTAAACCCAGAAAATAATTGACGTTGAAGGTTGTGCCACACAAAGATAAAAAACAGGATTATTTCATTTTCTTTCTTACTCAAATAATAACTTTTAAAGTGATTTCTTTTCTTCTGAAATAATACTTCAATTTTTTTATATTTTTAAAAAATAAAAATAATAAAAAATAGTAAAGATATAGATTGAGATAAAAAGAGGGTTTGAATATCTTCTTTTGTTTCAGTCAAACAGCATGGTTTGTTTTTATCATTTGAAGAGAAATGAAAAGTAAGTTAAAGACAAGGTATTAATAAGAAATAGGCTAGAGGACCAAGACACCACTTGAAGAGATTAAATGCACCACACCATTGGATGCTTTCTAAATTAGGAGGAACTTTTGCACCAAAACCATCACATGGACCACATGGAATGAAAGAATGTCTTCCACTTATTCTCATTTTGAGAAATAGATTAAATTATGCCTTAAATGGAAGAGAAGTTACAATGATTGTTAAGAACAGAACAATCAAAATTGACGGAAAGATTAGAACTGACACCAGATATCCAGTTGGATTTATGGATGTTCTTTCTATCCCAAGAACTAAAGAAAACTTTAGATTAATGTATAACACTAAAAGAAGATTCTGCTTAGTTCCATTGACTGCTGAACAAGCAAAAGTTTGTTTTTATTAATTTTAAATTAAAAATTGTGTTTAACTTGTCACAAAGAAACTGATCAATTACATATGATGAATTTCTTGGAGAACTGAATTTAAATTGAAGACAGTTTATATTTGTTGCAAAGAACTGATGCTATTGGCAGTTTCGTGATAGTTAAATGATGAGTTTATATAAACAAGAAGAATACTTATTTTATTAGTTCAAGTTATGTAAAATTGAAAAGAGAGTTCTTGGAACTGGTGCTATTCCATATATTGTTACTCATGATGGTAGAACTATTAGATATCCACATCCAGAACTTCAAGCTAATGATACAATCAAACTTAATCTTGAAACAGGAAAAATTGTTGATTTTGTTAAGTTTGATATTGGAAATACTGCTATGATGATTGGTGGTAATGGTATGGGTCGTGTTGGAGTTATTGTTAAAAGAGAAGTTCATCCAGGGTCATTTGAAATTGTTCACATTAAAGATGCTAAAGGAAACACCTTCACTACTAGATTAAACAATGTCTTTGTTATTGGTAAAGGAACAGAAACTCTTGTTAATCTTCCACTTGATAAAGGAATTAAGAAACCATTATTACAACAAGTCAATGAAACTATTAAGAAGAACAAGATGCAAAAGGCTGGTATTCAAAAAGCATCAAAGAAATCAAAGACCACTACTGAAAAGAAAGTTACACCAAAAGCTGTTGTAGAAAAGAAAGAAGAACAAGTTGAAAAGATTTACAAGAAATATCCAAAGAAACAAGCAGCACCAAAGAAATCTAAAGGAAACAAGAAAGTAGTTCCAGGCAAGAAAATTGGTAAGAAATAATTCATTTAATTTTGTGTTCAAGAGAATAATTTGTATTTTTTCATTTTTATTAATAAACATTTTTTCTTTGATTATATGGAAAATTATTGATATTTTATTTATTTTTAATTAAAAAGTAATTAATTGTTTTTGTTTTGTGTTATAAATTTACTTCTTTAAAAACTGAAAGAGAGGAAACTCAAAAAAATGAAAAGAGAAAGAAAAAGAAACTGGAAAAAGGAAGGAAAGATGAAGAACTAAATAAAGTGACCGTCAAAGAAACTCAAAAAGTAGAAGTGAAATGAGTAAAGTGATACAAGTGTATGCACCATTGCCATCAGTTACAAGAGGAAAAGCAGTTCATATAGGGTATAATGAACATAGTAAGATGGGAACACATATTGTTTATCCAACAGGGAATTGTATAGTAATTAAGAGTCTTGATAATGCATTGGATACGGATATTTATTATGAACATACATGTGAAACAACATGTGCAAAATATAGTCCAAGTGGATACTATATTTGTTCAGGAGATGTTCAAGGAAATGTTAGAATATGGGATACTACACAAAAAGAACATCCATTAAAATTTAGTTTTAGAGCACTTTCAGGACCAATTTATGATATTGCATGGACAGGAGATAATCAAAGAATATGTGTAGTTGGAGAAGGGAAAGAGAAATTAGGAAATGTATTTATGTGGGATGCAGGATCAACAGTAGGAGAGATTTCAGGACAAACAAAAACATTATTATCATGTGATTTTAGAGGAACAAGACCATTTAGATTAATTACAACAGGAGAAGATAATTATCCATGTTGGTTTGAAGGACCACCATTTAAATTTAAGAAAAGTATGAAAGATATTCATACGAGATTTATTAATTGTTGTAGATTTTCACCAGATGGAAGTATGTGTGTATGTGTTTCAAGTGATAAAAGTATATCAGTATTTGATGGAAAAACAGGAGAAATGAAATATAAAAAAATGGAACATAAAGCAGGAGTATATTCAGTTACATGGGGAAATGATAGTAAAAGATTTATTACAGCATCAGCTGATAAAACATGTAAAATATGGAATGCAGAAGATGGAAGTGTAATAAAAACAATTGAATTTGAAAATGAAATTGAAAAACAACAACTTGGAATTATTAATACAAAATATGGAATAATTTCAGTTAGTTTAAATGGAAGTATGAATCAAATTGAAGAAAGTAGTGGAGATATTAAAGAAATAATTGAAGGACATAATAAACCAATTACAGCACTTGCAAATGAAGGGGAATATTTATATTCAGGATCAAATGAAGGACATATTGTTAGATGGGAAAAAGCAACAGGAAAAGCAGTTGGAATTAGAGGAAAAGGACATTGTACAAGAATAAATGATATTGTTAAATGTGGAGATAAAATTGCTACACTTGGATCAGATGATTGTGTTAAGATTATAGATAAAAATAAATTAGAATATGAATTAAGTATTAGTACAGAATCACCAGCAAATTGTGGAGTATTCTATAATAATAGAATATATGTTGGAACTAATAAAGGAATTAAAGTTATTCAAGGAAATCAAATTATTCAAAGTATTGGTCATAATAATGGAGTTGCAACAATTGCAATAAATGGAGATAAGAGTATACTTAGTGTAGGATTAAAAAATGAAGGATGTATTAAATTTTATTCAATTAATGGAAATGGAGAAATAACAGAAAAAGGAGAAATTAAAGAAGATATTCAAGGAACAGTTTATAGTATGGACTATTCAAGTGATGGTAAATATTTCATTCATTCAGATGATACAAGAAAAATTGTACTTCGAGATGCTAAAACTAATGAAGTTATTTATTCTAGATGGGTTCCTCATAATTCAAAAGTCTTAAAAATTAAATTTAATAAAGATAATACAATGATTGCTACAGCAGGAGCAGATTCATATTCATATGTCTTGAATGTTGAAACAAAAGCAATCACAACATTAGGAAGACTTCATCCACTTGGTGTCAATGATGTATTCATTGATGAAGATGGAAAGATCTTTACTTGTGGAGCTGATTGTACAATCAAAGTCTCTTCTCTCTAATTCTTTTCTTTTTTTCTATTTTAGATTTGATTTTTTGATGGAGGTAAGGATTAAATTTGTTGGTTTAAAATAAATGTCATAACTGCCAATTTAAAAGTGTGTATTGACTATGGAGATTATTTTTAAAATGAAAAATAACTTTCTTGTTAAGAGAGATAAATGAAAAGAAAATCATTGATATAAGATTAAGATAAGAAAGAAGAAAAGAACTTTGGTATTTTGTTTGAGGAGTTGAATAAGATGGTTATTGGATAGATTATTATAATAAAACAAATTATAGTTAATTGATAATGATTAGAAGGGTAAATAATAGAAAGATAACTTTAAAAACTTGTGAATGATTACAGATAATTCTTAAGAGTATTGGTTTTAATGAATAGAAGAATAGGTTAAATAAATTAAGATAATATTTAAAGAAGAACTTGATAAAATAAAAAATATCAAGAATGTCTTTGGTTGATACAATTAGATATTTGAAAAAGAATAAAGAACAAAAATATATTGAAAAGGTTAGTCAAAATGAAAATATTATTTCAAAAGAAGAAAACATTCAAAAAATCCTTGAAATGTATCAAAATCCTTTAAATAATAAGAATATTATTTTAGCAATTTATAGTAGAATTAAAGAATCATCACTTCATTTTATTGGATATTCTAAATTAATAATATTAGTATATCGAATTATTACTGAAGACCAAAATAATATTTTACTTGAAAGTCTTAGAGGGAATTTAAATGTTTTTGAGAATAATATTCCTATAGATTCTAAAGAAGAACAATTTAGAGAAACATGTTTTTTTAAATTAAGTATTACATTAAGTAAAATGATTGATTGGATTTCATACTTTTATTCAAATTTTAATATTCTTTTTGAAAAAGATATTGAAATAATGGAATTTTTATATCCAAAAAGAAGGAAAAGAACTCTTTTAATATGTGAAAAAATGATTGAAATGTTTATTGATTTTAATATTGTTGATTGGAATTGTACAAGGAATTATATAACCACATTAAATTATCAAATGATTGATATTTTACTCAGTATTTATGCCAAAGTATTTTGTAGATTGTTTAAGTATATTTCAGCAATTATTCAAAATATTTTATTATTTATTCCAGAAGATACTAATAGAGTGATAAAAATTTTAGAACTATTCAATAAAGTTTTTGAATCTTTTTTATATTGCATAAGATCAAAAGAGATACAATATCGTTTTATTGATTTACCTAAAATTGAGTTAATTTCATTGGAAGAAATAATTCAATTCATTACAAAATATAATTCTATGGATAAAGAAAGTAGATCATTTAGTGAAATTGCATTAAAACTTATGAAATATAAAGTTCTTTCTAATAAAGTTAATTTAGAACTTGTTCGTTTTACTCATAGAATTATAAGTACCTTAGTTTCATCTAGAATTAAATCACACTCTAGTTCTATATTATCTTCAAGATCTAGTACTCCTAGAGAAATGAAAATATCATTTAAATATTCAATTAAACAAGTTAATAGAAATAATACTCCAATGAATGTTTTACAAAATCATGAAATCTTCAAAACACCAAGAAGATTACCATCTCCAATGGAACGATATGATATTTTTATTCCATCAGATTATATTATTCCTAAACCTATAAGAAAAGTTTCAACAAATCTTTTTGAAGAAGAAGAAGAAGATTTAAATTTTGTATTATGATAAAAAATACAATTATTTATATTAATTAATTAAGAGATTAGTTGTCTATTTGTTTAATAAAAGAAATAAAAAAGAGAATTGTCTATAATCAAATTAGAATAAAATCTTCATTTGTTTGTTAATGGCTTCTGTTAAACATTTCTTATTGATTTCACCAATTAATCTACCATTACTAGTTACAAATGCAGAATCAATTTCTGCAGCAATAAACAACATGTGAATTTGACTTAAAGGAGTATGTCTTAATAAATGAAGTGGACATTCACTATAATCTAACAAAAATTTATTGGCAACATGTTCAGGGATTTGAGCATCAAGTAATTTTCTTAATACACTCAATTTAACTTGACCAAGAAGGACACTATGTTCTATTATATTAATATAAAAATTTAATAAATTTTGGAAATAAAAATAAAGAAAGAATAAACAAACCAAGATCATTCACAACAGGAAGAATTTTATCAGAAAGAGTTTGAAATTGATCAACAATCTCTTTTAAATCAATAAGATTAGTATATTCAGAAATTGGTATTAAATTAGTATCCATAACCATCTCAGCTGTTTGATTTGAAGAATATTGAATATCAGGCATATAAGGTAATTTTTTATCAATTGCAATTTTATCATATACACAAACTGTAAAAAACCTAGAAAAACAAATAGTAATAACAGTAGCAATAAGCATTGGTACTAAAATACTAATATCATCTATTAATTCTATCATAATCACAGCTGAACTAAATGTTTGTGTAATTGATCCAACAAAACATGCTCCTCCAATAATAGCCATTCCAGATGGACCTAAATTATTTGATATTCCCCAAATTGAAAAACATTCTCCAATAAATCTACCAAGTACTGAACCTACAACTATATTAGTAGAAAATAATCCAACTGGTACTGGCATAGAAATAGACATTGCTGTAATTGTAAAACGAACAATAAATAATAAAAATAAAGCAAAGAGATAATGTTTTCCAAATAATGGTTTAATTGAATCATTAGTATACATTTGTGATAATGTTGTATATGTTGGATATCCAAATGGACTAATTTCTCCATACCAAGGAGCAGTAACTATACTAGTAAATAATGCAACAATAAATAAATAAAGATAAGGAATTCTTCCTAATTTATATTTTCTTAAATATTGACGTGTTTTAAATATTGTTGATACTGACATTACAAAAAGAACAGCAAATAAGCCACAAATAACACCAAGTAATATTGAAATTAATGAATCTTTTATTTGAAGTGTAGGAAAAGAATAATTAATTGATAATAATCCACTATATAATGAAGGTGAATTTGAATATGTATTAAAAATACTTCTAAATGTAAATGCAGCTATTACTGAACTAAATGTTCCAAACCAATAATTTCTTACTGAAAAATATGTTGCTGTTACTTCAACTGAAAATAAAAGACCACCAATAGCAGTTCCAAAGTTAGATGAAACTCCACAACTTGTTGCTGTAGAAAGCATTTGCATAAATAATTCATTTGAATTTCTAAGAAATTTAAATATTGGAAGACGAGTTAATTGACTAGCAATACATGATGAAATATGAATAAATGGTCCTTCTTTTCCTGCCCACATACCTCCTCCAAGAACAAAAACTAATCCAATTACTTTACTAATTAAAGTTTTAAATGTTAAAAGATTTGGAATATGATTTCCTAATAATGTTACTTTCATTTCTGGTACACCTGATCCATTAGCTGTTGGTGAAATAAATTTTGTCCAAAGAAATGCTATTGTAACTAAAATTATTGTATAAATAATCCAAATAATAACTTTATAAAATGAATTTTTAACTAATGAACATAACCATAATCTTAAATCTTGTAATTTTTCTACTGTAATATCCATTGATACTCCAATAATAGCAGATAATATTCCAAGAAGAAATAAATAAAATGCAACAACATGTATTAATGTTCCTTTATATCCAAATACTTGAAATAAACAAATTCTTTTAATTAATTTCCAATATTTATTTTCTTGTTGAACTAAGAAATTGTTTTGAGTTGGATTAGTTTGTATTTTCACTAAAACATTATCAATATCATTGTTTCCATCTTCTAAATCTCCAATTTCAAATATTTCAAATGTGCTATCTTGTGTAAATGGTGAATTAGATAATGAGTGTGTTATTTCCATGAAGGTTTAAATGAATGATATTGTGTTTGTAATGAGAAAAAATTCTTTTTTTTTTGTTTCATTTTCAAATCCCAATTCCTTAATTATTCTTTCTTTTTTTTGTGTTATTCTAAAAATCCTTTATTCTACTTACAATACCTGATAAAGTGTTAGTTATTAGAGAATTATTTGTTACATTCTAAAGGTAGTTTCAAGTTGATGTGTATGTCATTAATTTTATTGTATTTTGTGGTTGTATTAACACTGTTTTAAACTAACTTTTCATAAAGGGGTTTATAAGACTTATTAATCAAATAGCCATTCTTTTAAATAAAGTAATTTAAAGAATTATTATAGAAAATATGTTTATTTACAAAATGGAGATAAGATAGAATGTATGAAATGTACTAGTGATGTACATATACTTGACATTCATGAAAGATGATTTAGACATTGAATAAGTGATATTCAGTATAGAAATTAAAACATAAAATGGAGTTAATAAATATTTGTTATATTCTAATAAAGAGGTTATTTCATTAAATAAAATTTATCAGGAATGTTATTATCTAAAATAGTACAAAAACAATGAATAAATAACCAGAAAGATATATAAAAAGATTAAAAAGATAACCATAAATATCATAAAAACCGTAACGATTGTATCTTGGTAATAAAATTGTCAAATAAGAAGAGTTTTAATAACTTAAACAATTCAAACACAATAAATAAGAAGTAGTTTTTTTAATGAAAAATAGAAAATATGATAAATGAAATATACTAATACTTGGTGTATTATTACTTTTACACTTTATTTCATAATGACAAATTGCACAATAACATATTATGTTATAAGGATTTGTTATACTGGTTATTAAATTTTATAAAAATATATATTTTGTAATTAACATTCCATTATAACAAATTAACATAGTATATCTCAAAAATAATATATGAAGATGGGTAATAAACAATCAAGTTTAATATTTGTTGATTCAAATATTGTACTTAAAGAATTATTATTTATTTCTATTATAGTCGATAAGTCTTAAGTCTATATTCATAGTTTAAATGATACATATTATCTTTATTACTGTTTTGATAGGTGTTATTTAAGTGATTAATATAACAATCTAATCTCATTATAAAAAATCGATAATTTAAACAAATATTTGGTCAATAAAATGTAAAATCTCTGCTATTATTGTTATTGTTATCTTAATAAATGAATAAATTTAATAACTTACATTACATTGTTTTATATTGTAAATCATAATGTCAAAGATAGGACTAAAGTGTTATAAAATTGTTTGTTACCTGATTTGTTAATGGTAGTATATTAATTAAACGAACATGATATAACTCAATAAATAAATGATAGTTCATGTTATTTTGTAATCAAATGATGAAATAAATAATTAAAATTGTATTAAATAAATGTAAAATTTTAATATTTGATTCAATAATAATTTATAATATCATTTTTGAATGTATAGCAAAGAAATAATTAGAGTATAATTGAAGTATAAAAGAAAAGTACAAAAAACAAATTTAAATCTAATAGAAGTGAAATTGTGTAGATAGAATGATGGATTGAAACAAGGATATTTAAGAGTATCAATGAACAATGAAATATTGTAAAGAGAGAATCGAATGAAAGTAATGAAATAAAATAAAGACAACATTTGTGAGGACACACACAAACATAAAGAGAAGAAGTATTCATTTGTCTAAGAAAATTACAATATATCAATTAAGACAAAATATAATAAAGTGATGAAATTATTAAATACACAAACAATAATTACAAATAATTAAAATTCAAGAAAATACAATATTCATGTAATCGAATTATGTTATTATACTTTAACAAAATGTAAATAACTCTATCATTATTAAATTACATCAAGTAAACATTATTATCATTTAACAAATAAACTTTAAACACAATAACACAAATACATCTCTAAAATTATATCAATCAACGATGAAATTGTACAACCTATCAAAGTGAATTACAAAATACCTCATAATAATCTAACAATTATTTGCTGTGATAAAATATTTAACATAAATGCCTTGTCAAAATATGAAAATAATTCATATATCATACACACAAATATAGTAATGATAAAATAAACAAACACTATTTATAAAGTGTTTGGCAAGTGAAAGAAAATAATCAGAAGAAAATTGATCTTTTCTTTCTAATAAAAAGGAAATATAAGAAATGAATAGTTCATAGTTAATTTGTTTCTTTTATTATGAACTTGTTTTATATTTATTCATGTCGTCCACTCAAATTTTATTACAAAGTTCTAATGATACTTAAATAAAATAATATTTTATTATTTATTTTCTTTTAAGTTTTTCTGGAAATTAGAACTATTTCTTCAAAACAAATGAATCACAATAATATCTCAACAAAAACGTCATCAAATGCCTTGCCTTTAATAAACCTAAAGGAACAAAATAAGAATGGACAAAACAGTGCAGAACAATTTATTAATGCACTTAAAGGACCTGAAGACTTTCTACAGGAGTTTCAAGCTCCAATAAGTACAAGCCCACTCATGCCAAGCTGTGACAAAACTACCTTCACTGAAGAGGATGGGGCTAAAATTACTGAAGAAAAAATAGAACTAAATGAAAAAAAACCAGCAAGACCATTGGAAAGAAGAAGCGAATCCAATGAAAACAAGATCAAGATCCCCAGAAGAAAAGATGGAGTACCAAAGCTAATCCTCAACCACGGGAATGTAGAATTCATTGAAGAGGAGGGAGAGGGCGGTAATAGTAGAAAAGTTAATAAGGTCAAAATGTCCTTAAAAGAAGCTAAAAGGAGATACTTTGATCCTGTTGTTTCGATTCCTTCAGAAAAAAATGATGGAAGAATTGTTGACACGGGCTTTGGCCCGTTTGTCACTACAAAGGATCAGTAATGAATAATTAATAAGTAATGACCTTTTCCTTTCTATTACATAATTTTTATTGGTTACTTTTTGAATAATTTACAAACAATGTTCATACAAAATGATGAAATATAGAAAGGGCTAACCTAAATAAGCCTAAGGAAAATGAGATCTAGACAGTACTAGCATTAATTATTTGAAGAAAGGAATCTATGAAACTAACATTACTATAGATTTCATAAATATTAATTTATGTGATGTTTAATATAAAAGGTACATAATCACTGATTATGAATTAGGACATGCAGTTGAATTCATTGTTAAATGGAAAATATACGGAATTGATAAAATACAACATTTATTAAACATTTAGAACAACAAATGAATTTCATATTAAAATGATTTAATAAATTGTTGTATAATCCTAATGAAATCTATATACAATCCATCCAATAAAGCACATCACAGATATATAAGAAAGGATAAAATAGATCCACAGAATTACAAATAAATAACTTGTTTAAATAGTCTGTTAAAAGCATATCCATTATCAAAAAAAGATTATACTACAATATTATAATCAAACAACTATTAACCCCATACTAAGTTGAAGTAAATAGAAACATATTATGATGTCTCTAGGATATTACAACATTAGCCATTATTGTTAAAATACTCTTTAAATCGTAAAAATATTTTCTTTAGAAAATAGTTGATGAATAAGAGAAATATTTTTATACATACTCTGATGTTTGTTCTTCATTGCTTTTTCATCTTGGTCGAATGAATAATTGTAAGTTGTATGATTTGTTAAGATAATGATTAGACATCATTTCATTTAATAAAACATTATTGAAAGTACTGTTTTGTTTTATTTTTAAAGAAAAAATGAATAAATATAAAATCAAATAATGTTTAAGGGAGAATTAACATATTGATTAAATAAAAATAACATTATTAAAAGAAGTACTTCTAAATTCAAATTAAATTAAAACCATCTCAACTATTCTTTGTTTGAAACAAACATTTTACACAAAAGTCATTGCTAATTAATTTCTTTTATTATTTTCTTTCTTGGTTCATTAACATCTTCTTTTTAATTTTACGTTTATTTCATCTGTTCCTATTCTTTTTCATCAATCCTTATTTCTTTTATTTTTGTAGTTATGTCAAATAACTTGTCTTTAATTCAGGTCAATTATTCTAATCATATCATTCTCATTTTCTTATATCAACATCCAAACTAATCTTATACTAAAATCCAATGAAAATTAAATACAACTATCAAAATAAAAACTATAACCAACAGAAGAATATTCTCAAGTATTATTACATCATTTATCAACAAAAATATTACTATTATATTCAATTAACTATAACTCTTATTTTTAAATCACACTTTTTCTATTCTATCAATTCATAACTTCAGAATATAATATAACTAAATAAGAATAAATTAATTTGATATAACTACTATTTATTCAATCCATCTATTAATAAAACAATACAATAACTGTAATTTAATTAACATTGTTTTCATTGACACAATTCAAAGATTATTTGTTTTTGAAAAAAAGATATTTCTTGTTTATTTTCATTCTTTTGTATAATTAAAGTGTATTTGAAGAATAAGAAAATCATTCAATTTAACTAAAAAAAATAATGAAATATGGTTGTTTTAATTGTAAAAATAAAAAAATTGAATGGAAATAAACTCAAAATATATATAATGAGAGATTATAAAATACTTAAGATTATTCACTTGACAAAAGGATGGAATTATTACAGGAATTATCTTGGATTCTTTATTATAGGAACAATAAATAATATTAACTTTGTTGTTGTTAATTCATCAGCAAGTAGTTTATGTTCATTTTTTAAAGCAGACAAATGGAATCCATTAATATTATGGTGTAATGTATTTGCAGGGTTAATACTAAGAATATTTAATATGTTATTTTTATATAAAATACCTATCAAAATTCGATTATTATTTTCTACAATTTTTAATTTAATTGGATTATTTGGAATAGTTTTATGTATTTTACTTCAAGAGTATACCCAAACAACTTCATTTATATTTTTTGGATTATGTCTTTGTATGATTCTGATTATTGGAGGAGTTCAATCATTTGCAGAATCTATTATCTTATCATATTCTGGTAGATTTCCACCTGAAATGGTTAATGGATGGTCAAGTGGAACAGGATTTGCTGGAGTAGCTGGAAGTGGATTGTATTTATTTTTTACTGGATTAAACATCTCAAATACTATTAGTTTTATTTGTTTAACACCTCTCTGTGTTATTTATGCAATTATCTTCTTCTTTATGATTAAACCAGAAAATAATACAAATGAGGAACAACAAAGATTGATAAGTGATACTAACAATGATAGAAATCAAGAAAAAGAGAACAATGAATATGATAACATTAAAGAAGAAATAAAAAATGAATTAAATTTAATGATTGATGAACAAAAAGAAGAAGGAACATTCTTAGAAAAGTTAAAAAGTGGAATTAAAATGACATGGTGGTTAGGAATTAATCTCACATTGATTTATTTTTTTGAATATATTATTAATCCTGGTGCTATCTATGTAGCATTTAACAAAGAAGAATCAGAAGAAACCAATAACTTTTTTATTAAAAATTTTTATGAAGTTCTTGCATTTTGTTATCAATTAGGAGTTTTTATATCTCGAAGTTCATTACCATTATTTAAAATTAAACCAGTTTGGATATTAACAATGATCCAATGCATTTTATGTATTTTTATGTCAATTCAAGGTAACTTACATTTTATGTATGATGAATGGGGTATTTGGTTAATGATAATCATTATGTTAATTGTTGGGTTGATTGGTGGAAGTGGTTATGTTCAAGTAATGTATTGGATTTTAACTAAACAAATGAAAAAAGAACAACGAGAAATGGGAATTAGTTTTGTTACAATATTAAATACATTAGCAGTATTAACTTCTTCATTAATATCATTATTATTGAATGAAACTTTATGGAAAACTAATTTTGATTAATAGTTAATTTATATTCATTTCTTTTTATTACTGAATGTTACTCAATAACAAAAAAAAAAAAAAAATTAAAAATCTAAAATAAAATAAAAATAAAATGGCATTGTATTGTCCTTGGGAACACATTACATGTAATTCTTGTAATAAAGTTATTACTACAATGACAAGAATAACATGTGTTGAATGTGATAATTTTGATTTATGTTTAGAATGTTTTTCACAAGGAAAAGAAATAGGAAAACATAAAAATAATCATAATTATCGAGTAATACCATCTTTACATTTTCCATTATTATCAAGTGATTGGGGAGCTGATGAAGAATTAATGTTATTAGAAGCTATTGAACAAAAAGGACTTGATAATTGGCCTGAAGTAGAGAATTTTGTTAAAACTAAAACAGCTAAAGAATGTAGAAGTCATTATTATGATTATTATTTGAATTCTAAAACACATCCTCTTCCAGATCTTGAGGAAAGTTTCTTAAAAAAGAATGGAATAGTTGAAATGAAACCATCTCGAATTGTTCATTTTAAAGACGATGAATTTGATTCTAGACCTCAGAAAGAAACAGGATGTACACAACCTACATATGAAGGATATGATGCATCTTTTAATCCATATAGAAAAGAATTTGCATTTGAATATTTTAATAATGCAGAATTATCAATTTGTAATATAGCTTTTACTGATAAAGATACTCCTGAAGAACGAGAAATAAAATTTCATAAATTAGAAGAATATTATAAAATGTATTGTGAACGAGTTAGAATTAGAAATATTGTTATTAATCAAGAACTTGTTGATCCAAAGAAACTCAGAATAGCTGATAGAAAAAGAAGTAAAGAAGAAAAAGAGATTCATGATTTAAATTGTCAATTTCTTGTTGCATTAGGAAAAGAAGATTTTGAGAAATATATTAAAGCATTAGTAGGTTTGTTTATTTAATTCTTTATTCTTTATAAAATATTATATATTATTTAATATTAATCTCTATTTTGTAGAAGAAGGTAAATTAAAAACTAAAATACGAAACTTAAAACAAAAAAGAAGAGATGGTTGTTTAACATTACAAGAATCAAAAAGTAGAAGAGTTTGTTATCTTTATTCTTTAATACTTCATTTAATATATAATTATTTATATTTAGAAAGTTAATAACTACAATTATACTTCTGAATTAAAATCAGTTTCTTATACAAAACCAAGTAAACATCCTCATTAATTCATTGTCAATTGCTTTTTTGTTTTCTTCTTCTTTTTTATATTTTAATTCTTCTTTATTCTTTATTAATTATTTAATTTCTCCATTGA